TCGAGGACGCCGTGGTTCAGTCTGACATGAAACATTGGCCGTTCAAGGTAATCAGTGATGGTGGACGTCCCAAGGTGGAGGTGGAATATAAGGGAGAGACTAAAAACTTCTACCCTGAGGAAATCTCCTCTATGGTGCTGGTGAAGATGAAGGAAATTGCTGAAGCCTACCTTGGAAAGGTGAGTGTGAGAGCTGTTTAAGGTCTTTACTCATGTATTATTTTAGATGGCTGGACTCTAATTTTTCTTTCTTTCCCAGTCTGTCAGTAATGCTGTAATAACAGTACCAGCTTACTTCAACGACTCTCAGCGTCAAGCCACAAAAGATGCTGGCACTATCTCTGGTCTAAATGTACTGCGAATTATTAATGAGCCTACTGCTGCTGCTATTGCCTATGGACTGGACAAGAAGGTAGGTTTTTGTGCATGATTATTTTCTGAGTTCTACCAAAAGTCCTTCCCTTTTCTGTAAAGTATTAAATTTCGCTATGATGAAGTTGATTCCTGCCATTCGTAGTTTCCACCAGAGGTTGTAAAAGACCAAAGATGGCCCAAATACCTTCCTTGGATGTCTGAGCGAAATTATGCACTTTCTCTTATTCTGTCACTACTTTTGTTTCATTTGGATGAGTTTAAAGTATATTTTTCTTTTGCCCATCTTTCTAAATAGGTTGGCTCTGAGAGGAATGTCCTCATCTTTGATCTTGGTGGTGGCACCTTCGATGTGTCCATCCTGACCATTGAAGATGGCATCTTTGAGGTCAAATCCACCGCTGGTGACACTCACCTGGGGGGTGAAGACTTTGACAACCGCATGGTGAACCACTTCATCACAGAGTTCAAGCGTAAGCACAAGAAGGACATCAGTGACAACAAGAGAGCTGTTCGCCGTCTGCGCACTGCCTGCGAGCGGGCCAAGCGCACCCTGTCCTCCAGCACTCAGGCCAGTATTGAGATCGATTCCCTTTATGAGGGTGTTGATTTCTACACCTCCATCACAAGAGCTCGCTTTGAGGAGCTCAACGCTGACCTCTTCCGTGGAACCCTGGACCCTGTTGAAAAGGCGCTCAGAGATGCCAAGATGGACAAATCTCAGATCCACGACATTGTCCTGGTTGGTGGCTCTACCCGCATCCCCAAGATCCAGAAGCTTCTCCAAGATTTCTTCAATGGCAAGGAGCTCAATAAGAGCATCAACCCTGATGAGGCTGTGGCTTACGGAGCAGGTTGGTTACAATAGATTTATTCATTCTTCAAATTTATGGTCTCGCAATGATGAAGTTGATTCCTGCCATTCGTAGTTTCCACCAGAGGTTGAAAAACCAAAGATGGCCCAAGTACCTTCCTTGGATGTCTGAGCGACAGCAAAGAGTGAAAATGATCTTTATTGTCCATCTGTAGATACTAACCTTCTGTTGTACTTTTCAGCTGTCCAGGCTGCCATCCTCTCTGGGGACAAGTCTGAGAATGTTCAGGACCTGCTGCTGCTGGATGTCACCCCTCTGTCTCTTGGTATCGAGACTGCTGGTGGTGTCATGACTGTCCTCATCAAGCGCAACACCACCATTCCAACCAAGCAGACCCAGACTTTCACCACCTATTCTGACAACCAGCCTGGTGTGCTGATTCAGGTTGGAACAAAATTTAGTTGGTTTATGGCTTGTTTTTCGCTATGATGAAGTTGATTCCTGCCATTCGTAGTTTCCACCAGAGGTTGTAAAAGACCAAAGATGGCACAAGCACCTTCCTTGGATGTCTGAGCGATTAAATCTGCCAAACATGGTTTAAGTTCTTGCACGTACAGACATGTAAATTTTTAATTTGTGCCCCCCCAGGTTTACGAGGGTGAGCGTGCCATGACCAAGGACAACAACTTGCTGGGCAAATTTGAGCTCACTGGAATCCCACCTGCTCCTCGAGGTGTTCCCCAGATTGAGGTCACATTTGATATTGATGCTAACGGTATCATGAATGTGTCTGCTGTTGACAAGAGCACTGGCAAAGAGAACAAGATCACCATCACCAATGACAAGGGTAGGTTGATTTCCTGAAATAGTCTGCAGATTGAGTGCCTGTTTAGTTTTATTCTAGTTTCTTAAGGGTTCCATTTTTTTTAAAGGTCGTCTCAGTAAGGAGGACATTGAGCGCATGGTGCAGGAGGCTGAGAAGTACAAGGCTGAGGATGATGTGCAGCGTGACAAGGTGTCTGCCAAGAATGGCCTGGAGTCCTATGCTTTCAACATGAAGTCCACTGTAGAAGATGAGAAGCTGAAGGGTAAAATCAGTGATGAGGACAAGCAGAAGATCCTGGACAAATGCAATGAAGTAATCAGCTGGCTTGACAAGAACCAGGTGAGGCTTCATACATTTTGTCTGGATAATTGTAGAGCAGGAGTTATGAATTAGATCTTGTATGGACCCTATTCCTCCTAAAAGTTTTAGGAGGGCTAAGATTCTGTGCGGGTGTGAAATTTTAAATGTAGTTTTAAAAAGAACATTCTACTTAGGGTATTGCTTAACTTCCTTATATGCCCAAGGTGGTGCATATAGTTTAATTCAGCCACAGGAGAAAGTTTGTGTGTAATCCAGTAACACATTTAAATTTCTGTTTGTGTGCATGTTCCTGGAAATGTGTGCAGTTGAACTAGAAATTTTAGATGTACAAAATCACTAATATGGAGTTTTCTCCTCAGACTGCTGAGAGGGATGAGTATGAGCACCAACAGAAAGAGCTGGAGAAGATCTGTAACCCAATCATCACCAAACTGTACCAGAGTGCTGGTGGTATGCCAGGCGGGATGCCCGATGGGATGCCAGGTGGTTTCCCAGGAGCCGGAGCTGCTCCCGGTGGTGGATCTTCCGGTCCCACCATCGAGGAGGTTGATTAAGCCATTCTGAATCTGCTCTACCTCTCCGATGTTTACCGTTGTACCCTCTGTAGCAGAATTCCTGAGACTCTGTTAGTGGGTTAGGGTTTTGGTTGTTTCTGCTACGGAGTGACTGCAAATCTTAAAAAAGGGGATTAAGGGATCACTTCCACATCACAGGGAACAGATTTTTTTTTTTTTCTACTTGAATGTCGCACAATTTATCAACTGTTAGATGTATAAGCCTTTTGCAAATGCCTGGTTTGCCTTGAAGAAAGTCTGAATAAAGTGAGCACTTTTTCCCATTCTTGCCTGTTTTGATTATTCAGTTGTCTGTATGTACTTTCCTAATGCACCAAATCATCTGAACAGGAGTAAGTGTGCTAGTCTGGCACAAAATCTAACTAAACTGGTAGTGTTTAACCAACTTGGTTGTAACACTAAGTGTGCAGAAAACATTGACATGCTGTTGTGTAAACTATTAATATTGCCAGTTATTTAGTTAATTTGAGCCACAAAATGCAGAAAGTGTTTGTAGTTGCTGAATGCATTGTTGGCTTTTGTAGTCAGATTTGTTTCCGCTTAAGGTATGAAGTGTAAAATCCCTGTTTTGGGATTGAAAGATTTGACAATGGAGCAAGTCTTATTCCACTAGGGAGCAAGATTAAAAATAGCATAACCATGTTTTGTTCCAAAGGAAGAAAAGTGAACACACTGATACCCAATAAAAATGCACCATTTCTTACTTTGCTGAAAAGTGTTTATGGAGTTAATTTTGTGCTAAGGGTTTACATTAAAATCCACAAGCAAAATCAATTTTGCAAATCCAAGTAATGAGACTTGAATCAAAATTTTTCAAAAAGATTACTTCTGATTCACACATTTTACTTTAATTTTTTTGTAATTGTGGATTTTTCTGATTTGACAGTGTAGATTATATGAACATGGAGGGGGTATGCTGTAGATATGCTTACTCTTACATTTCCAGACATCTTTTCATATGTTGTTTGAGTGCCAGTACTTTTGATCAATATACAATAGATTTGTAAAAATTACACACAAAGTGTGAATAAAGATATAGATCAGCTATAGATCGTAAGGAAAATTAACTGTTTAAAATAAAAAATACTCATCAAATACCCTGTTACCCAGTAGCCAACTAGCTAAAACAGCTTAACAACTTGCCAACAACAACAAATCGACTGACTAGTATTTACTAGTCACCGTGTAATTGGACTTCTTTCAGCTAGGTGATGATATTTGATGTATCCGAGCTGTTGTGTGATGTATAAGGACAAATATCCCACCAATCCAACACAACGGTGACTGAATTATTATTATTGGATTGTCAGGGCAAATAACAGGAGCCTAAGAACATCATATTATAGAGCTTTTATTCCTCCCTGACTCAATCTTAATTCTTTAAAAAAAATCCTATGCACTGTAGCTTTAAGATAGCTGGGTAGTATAACATGCAGCTTGAAACAAAGTTGGAAAGTACTTTGCTTAAATGTTAATTGAATATGAAATATTTACTTTATTTAGCTATTTATCTATTTACCTGGATGGTAAGAGGAAAATTGCAAACATTTCGGCTCTGAGAATTCGAAATATGGACATCAAGACTCACAGGTGAAACCAGTAAATAATTAGAGACTGGTATCTATTTGGGTCCTGTTTAGTTGCGGATATAATCCAGAATAAACAACATATTGTCAGGTACTCAAGGGTCGGAAGTCTTAAGATATGGGTTAATTAAATACGCTCAACCACTACATTTTGTAGTGTTAGAGCCTGGAATTTAAACAGACATTTGTTAGTTGCATAAAGTATTAACCCCTTTGGGACAATATTTGGTACACTTTTGGCTGCAATTACAGCTCCAAGTCTTCTGGAATATATCTCTATCATCTTTGCACATCTGGATCCTAATTTTTTTTTGCTCATTCTTTTTGTCAAAATTGCTCAAGCTCTGTCTGATTGGATGGAGACTGTTGGTGAACAGCTATTTTCAAGTCGTGAACAGCTTCTCCCATGTGAGCTGTGGTTCTCTGCAGCTCCTTCAGAGTTACCCATAGCCTCTTGGTTGCTTCTTTGACCAATGCCTCCTTACTCAGTCACTAACCCGTGGGGGTACCTGGAGGACTAGTGGTTAGGCTTCTGTGCTCTGACCTCCGTGGCCCGGGTTCGATTCCTGGCCAGGGAACCAGCCCCAGCCACTGGAGCTGCACACGACAGTGCACTCCCAGTGCCGGTCCCAAGCCCGGATAAAATTGGGGAGAGGTGCATCAGGAAGGGCATCCGGCATAAAACTGTGCTATGTTTTTTAACCAAGCATAGATTGATACTTTTCAAGAACTTTGTCCTGGACTTGTTTTGATAGCACCTTGGTCTTCACGATGCTGTTTGTTTGGGTATGTTCTCTAATAAATTCTGGGGCTTTTTGGAAACAGGTGTATTTACACTGTGATCATGTGACACATTCTTTGCAAACTAAGGATGTGACATTTGATGGCAACAGAACTAATTTAGAACTAACCAAAACTAATGCAGAACTAACCAACACTAATGCAGAACTAACCAAAACTAATTTAGAACTAACCAAAACTAATGCAGAACTAACCAAAACTAATGCAGAACTAACCAACACTAATGCAGAACTAACCAACACTAATGCAGAACTAAACAACACTAATGCAGAACTAACCAAAACTAATGCAGAACTAACCAACACTAATTTAAGGGGTCCAAAGCAATGGAGGTGAACCTTCACGTTTTTATTTGTAAATATACTGATTAGTGAATATTAATCAACATACTGATTTCACTTTAATATGATGGGCTATTTTGTTTCGATTCATGACAGAAAATCCCAGTTAAGGCAACTGTGCGTGTGTGTGTGTGTGCGAGCATGCGGGCGAATGATAAAAAATAAATCAGCCTACACACTATTCCTATTGAAAATTCAAGTTCCAGCCACCCGTTCCTAGTGCGCATGTGCAAGATATCTTCGCGTCTGTGTCACCATGGCAACGGTCACACTCACGGCCAAATTGGGTGAGAAGTCCTTGGAACGGCTCACTGTATTTACGTTACTAACTAGCTATTAGGTATTGATGATAGTGTTTTAATATAATTAATACATTGTAACTGAAATGGTGTGTAGATTATGACAAAACATATCTGTGTCTCAATTAGCTGACTAACGTTATATAAGGCAAAATTCTAACTAGCCTCTGTAGGTAGCTAACTAGGCTACTTAGCTAGCGTTAACTTGGCTAAATAATTTACTAGCTCGTTTGTAAGCGTCTCTGCCTAACGCCATTTTAACAGAAGTCAGTGATGTAGTTTGGTGATGGGGTTAAATGGAGCACAAACCCCTCATTAAGACAGTGTTGTAAATTGTGAATGCTGACTCAGTACATCTTCTGCAATGGACACCAGCAGCACAGACCATGGAGCTTTATACAGGTCTAATGACAGTAAGAAGAGAAACATGAAGTCTGATCAGGCCCATGACGCCAGACCAAGCCATGAAGATGCAGCCCATGATCTTTGGGACTCCTTAGAATCAGACACTGAGAGCTTGGTGCAGGAAAAAGCTTACCAGAGAGAGCTTCAGAAGCGCATACTGGACGGTGTTGGTGACAACACTTCCTCTTATAATGCCATCTCTCCCAACATCGAGAGATCTGAGCATAAAGAGGGCTGTGATCCACAACCTGATATCACTGAAACACATGGAGGCCAAAACACCAAGTTTTCAAGGTAGCCTACCTAATCTAAAGGATACTGTACATAATCTGTGTAGTGCCTTGTAGCCACTGTCATTTATTTTAGCCATATGCATGACATCTAACACCTTATGATTCATATCTTGTATTTTAAATACCCTATTTTGTGCCCTAGATGTCTGTTAGGAAGCTTATTGGGATTCAGTCTTAGCTCACTGGTATAAAGAAGCCTCGGAAGCTTCAAATCCAAAAGCCCTTGATGGACTTTGTTTGCCTCTGTTTTTCAGTCTTATTAACACTGCTTTTGTTTTACATTATGATGAGAAGATGTGAAAGGGTTAATGACAACATTGGACAGCCTAAATCCTAAATATTCATGTCATTATCTGAGATTCTACATCAACATGAATGCCCTGTTGAGTATAATGCACTTTATTGTACCATCATTAATGGATGTGAGTAATTAGGCTCTCTGAAACAGACTGAGTAAACAATGACAATACCTGACACCCCTAGATCATTCCCGAAATGATGAGACCTTTTTATTGAAGAGCGGCCTGGGAAACATAATGGAAATGATTAACAGCTTGTATTCACTTGCCTAATAGGTAATGGCAGTCTTTGAAAATGATGTTAGAGTACATGCATTCTAATTTATTTGAAAGACCTCTAATTTTGGCACTTTCCATATAACTACCCTCATTTAAAGGAAATTAGATTTTTATTCTGCAGAAGGTTATCACAATAAGGCCTCATTTTGAAGTCCATTAAAAAAAGCAGATGCTTTGTTGGGCTTTAAATAGGAAGCCTTTGTGTGCAACAGAAGCACAGATGCTGGAATCTGAAGTGTTCATCGCAGCATCTGTCTCAACTCCTTCACCTTCAGCTTAAACAGAATGAGATTATTTTTTCATTTATTCATTCATCTTCAGTAACCGTTTTATCCTGGCCAGGGTCGTGGTGGATCTGCAGAACACTGGGCACAAGTGGAAATACACCCTGGATGGGATGCTAGTCCATTGCAGGGCATCATGCACCTTTCTAATCTTGGTCTATGAAGAGGCACTGCACACTCACATAGTCTGAATGATAGTCACATGTTATTGAATTCATTTAGTTCTTTATATACAAAATATTGTATTTTTATATTCTCAAATGGCATAATTAACATAATCCTGAAAAGATACAGTATGGTTGAAAATTCAGAGTCCACTACCAAGTAGGTTGTTTTTATTTCATTATTAAATTTATTTAATGGATCAAAAGCTAATAGAAAATATTACTCAGACAATCATTCCCAACCAACCATTAAACAATAATGTATTGTTGAACAACTGAGACAGATAACTTTATTTTAGCTATTCCTGGTGAAAAATATATTCTGTTTGAACACCATTTGTTTTATATGTTTTATGTTTATACCTAACACAGTGTTCATTTTTGTATCTTACCTGATAACGACTGTTAGTACATCCTCTATACCATATCATTGCCATTCTTTTGTGAGGTGTTACAAATGTGTACTTTTTTCCATTTGTAACTGATTGAATATAAATATAATTATATATAGTTCTTGGTAGTGGCCTTATATTTTTAACCTTACTTTGTACCCACATCCTCATTCAAATAAAAGATCACATTGCCAGTGTATTACACTGTATTTGCTATGATTGGAGATTCCTGTGTTTTGGAAGTAGGAACCCATATCGCTGTTTGAAAGAAGCAAAGAGCAGTGTTTCGGCTGCGACTAGTTTTTTTTTTAGTAACTCGAAAAGCTTGAGTGGGTTTTCGTATGTTAAGGAGCCTCCACAGCTGTGAGCCCACACTGCATTCTCAAGCTCATTTCAGGGAGTCATTACTGAGTCATTCGCTGCCCCCTTGCCCTCGTTGGCTGAAGAGCCGTGCGCCTCGCCAGCGCAGTATTTGGCATCATGAGACGTGAAGAGCATCTTGTAGCATTCAGAGCTGTGCAACAAAGAGGCACTCTTCTAATTATTTTAATGAGATCTTTTCATCCGGTGATGCAAGGAGCACATTAGGTAGCAATTTCAACCTATTTTATACCCTTGAATCTGCCATTTCCAAAACTATGGTGCAATTGTGGGCTCTAGACCCTTAGTGATTAGGGGCTAAGCTGAGGATAACACAAGGATGAGGCAAAAGAAATGGGAAGCATATCTTGTAGGATGTGCCAGACCTTTTCACTCATATTTGCATATTTATTTCAGCCTGCTTTAATGGCTATTGGGCTACTAATCTCTCTCCTGGATTTAAGTTACATATGATGTCTCTTTAATGATTATAAACAGTATTTCTCCAAAATTCCAGACAGACGCCTCCTTGGGATGAATTTGCTGACTTGCGCTATGATCCAGACTGGAGAAAGAAGCTGGAAAGGTCTGAGTTTCTCCACACGAACTTCTCCTTCGACTCCAGCGAGGATCCTGGAGACACTCCGAGACACACACGACATGTGTCTCCAAGGGAAAGACATGACTATTTAGTAGTCCATAGTCCTGTTTCATCTGAGATGGACACTGTTCACCCCAAACCACTGCTGTCCTCCTTTCACCTACATCCACCAGAAGACCAAGACACTGTGCTGTCAGTACCGCAAAGCTCATCTGCGTCCTTAGAGAGCATGCCACATTCAAATTCAGATAAAACCGTGAAGGTTAGGCACAGAATTAATCAAGAGCAAAGTGCTGCTGGAATCCTGCCCTTTTCTGCTCCACGACAGAAGCAGCATGCACAAAGTCAGAGGCAGCATGATGGAGAGAATCAGAGGATTGGTCAGGAACAAAACATAGACAAGCTTAACGTAGTAGCCATGCAGAGGAGACGCTCCCAAAAAGTCAGACCACCCAAGCTGAGAGAGGACATAGTGGAGCGTAATAAAGCCACTCTGGGTATGAACAGTCATAAACAAGGGTCATATCTGAAGGCATATGAGCAAAGAGGAGGAAAACAAGATGATGCATATCAGGTAAGTGTTTATTGGTGCTTGTCTGTGAAGCATTAGGATCAGTGATTAAAAAAAGGAAATCACAATTCACCATTATCAAATTACTATATTTATTACTGAATTATAGTTACCGGCTTTTTTGACTGGTTGCTTGAATTGAATTGGGTTTAATCCAAATTTCAAAGAGCCTATAAATAATGGACCTAATGTGTTCTGTGATTGGAAAGTTCAAGAATAAAAAAACTCTAGGGATCCAATAAATATATTACTATTACTGTACACATTTAAATAATGTGTCTATTATTTAAAATCAGTCTACGCTGTTGGGGTCTGTTGGGAAATGTATTTTACAGTTACAGGGATCCCTGGCTTCAAAAAGTTTGAGAAGCTCTGACATATAGACCTATTTCTGGTCGGTTTTGCTTATGTTTAATAGTAAACAGACTTTATGTGTACTTGTTTTTAATGAAACTGGGATGGCTGATGAAACAGGTCCATCGCTGGCCA